TCTCTCTCTCTCTCTCTCTCTCTCTCTCTCTCTCTCTCTCTCTCTCTCTCTCTCTCTCTCTCTCTCTCTCTCTCTCTCTCTCTCTCTCTCTCTCTCTCTCTCTCTCTCTCCCTACCCTGTCTCCACCTCCCTACTTATAATCCCCACCACCACATCATCATTACGGCTTACCAACACCTCCGCCCTCCACGGGTCACCTGAGGTCACCTAGCGGCCATCTCAGGTCACCAAGGGCACCAGGGTGAGAGCGTCTCAGGCACCGGAAGTCACCGTTTCCGGTGCGGTTCTTTGATGTCTTCAGCCGGCGGCGCCAAAGGTGACGCGGTGAGAGGTCTTTGACCGGTTTCTCATAGTGCTGACATAGATATACGGTCACGACTGTTGTTAAAATGCTGCTCGAGTTCGGTAGATGACATGCTAAGTGTTAGTTGTTATAATGAAAGGGTGTGCTTTAGAATAACGAGTTTCCTGTTTTGGACTTTGAAAATGGTCATACCTACAGCTGATCTTATCAGGCGAGTCCTATTGCCTCGGCTGTATTGTGAACTGCCTCTGCCGCTGGCTTGAAAATCCACATAACCTTTGCAGTTTTGGTTTACTATTCACTTCTGCAAAATCGCCTCACGAGTGATAAATAGCAAATACCCCCTCAAACGTCACTTTCCAAAATTACCCTACAATTTACCCCTGTCGCTATTTTTGTACGAACTGCATTGTCTCCCATACCACTAGAGACTCACACGCGGCGGTGGAGACTGCAGTTTTGCATAGAAGGCTATCACCATCAAATCCGGAGGTCGCATGCGCTGCCTGCTGTGTTATCAGACAGTTCGGTACTGTGCCTTTTCATAAGCATCAATCTCACCACAGCTTACCATATTAGATTTAGTACGCTTCCCTTCATACTAACAGCAAGCATTTTTAATATTTTACAGACAGTTGACGTGACATTGTGACAAATATTTTATACAATCGTTTGGTGATGGAATTTAAATTCTACACTGTCAGGATCTCAAGAACCAACAACTTAGCTGAAAATAACTGCGCGCAACACGTGAGCAAATTACAGCCATTGGCCCGAATAAAGTTACGATAACTGCAAGCACACTAGTCACCACCAAAGATATCAACATCTTGGCAAACTATGTAGAATAGCATCATGTCACTAACAATACACACAACAGCAGCCAGATGACAACCAACATCCGGATATCAGCTATCGATTTTACACTCCGTGGAGCGTCAAACAGAGTCTCACCCGGAGAACAATGTACGTTGTTTGGGGACTGAATTCGCTGTGAATTTGTAATGTCACTTTCGACTCAGCTGTTGCCTGTAATCTGTCTGCGGCACATGGAAAATATCAGATGGTATGCTATGGGCTTAGGACAGTTTCGAAAGCAAATATGCAAATATGCATTCACACCGTTCCATGCTTCTATCCTCAGGATACTGAAATCCTTCTCCTCAACGCCGCAACCCCCCTCCGGGCTGGACAGGCTTAACTTTATCTCATGCGGGCTGCTCCCTTGGAGCGGCACCGCTGCTCCCGAGGGAGCGCACCCCGTAGCCGGGTGCAGTGAGTGCCTTGGGGCTGGGTGGCCTGTCCTATGGACGGGCTCAGCCCCGGCGACTCACTAGGGTGCCTGCCCAGACCAATGTCTCCCCCTATATCCTATCATCCTCCCGGCTCTGAAATGGTCTCATTGGACCGAAAGGGCCTAACCCAACAAAACAAACAAACAAAAAAAAATATGCATTGTTTTGGCTCATGACAACTTTCCAGATTGACGAGTACATATCAGTAAGGGCGACTACTCTTTTTTCAGAAATGTTGCTCATGCATGTGCCTTTTGTTTTGTTTACGGGATGAAAACGTTTACACAATGTAGATAATTGCGTACATTTGTGATAATTTCTCCCATATTTCGACTGAGAACAGGGAAATAACTTGATAAAACAAAACCTTTACCCAAAAACCACCTCCAAAAGAAGGCGAACATTGAAAAAGTAACTAACAAGCAACAATACCATACAAGTCCAGCTTTCGTGACACAAATCTTCGGAATAGTTCTGTAGGCTGTCAACAGTTTCTTGTTAGCGACTCTGCTACGATCCTATGTCTCCAGGCTCAACAATCTAAAGGAATGTTCATCCGGGAACCTCTGATAACGTAAAACTACCGACATTATTTAGAATACGTTTCAAAAAGAGGAATTTTACGTAACAGTGGCCTCCATTCCGGTTAGCTCAGGCCTGAGGGCCTTTGACTTAAATTTTCAATCATCCAAGGACTTGAAACTTTTTAAAATTGAGTGGTACCATGTCATTCTCTCGTGAAGAACGAGCTCATTTAGGGCCAATCTAGATGAAAATCACATCCCATACATACATACATACACATTTATTTTGAACATTACAAATGAGCAAAACATACACAAAAATATTATAAGATTGGTGCAAAAGAATAAAAATTCTTAAATTAAAGCACCTCTCTTAATCAATCGGTATAAAATAAACATGAGTATTACATAAAAAACACAACATAATGCAACATAACACAACATAACATAATCCCTTCTGTGCTGTCGACAAAGTGGCCAGTATCGACGAAGATAAGTGCTGACAAAGGTTAGCATCTATACCAAATACCTACTGTTGTGAGAACACGATATCTTCAGGCCTGTGATTTCAGAAAAAAAAAATGCATAAAAATGCATTGATATTCATAAATGTTCTATGCAGTGTATTCCAGGTAGAGTTCTGCACGGCTGCAATTTTCCACAGCCTAGCCGCCCCGCAGCCGTGGCTCCACAGCCACAGCCGCCCACAGCCGTGGCAAACTGTGGGCAGCCAGCCGTCAGCCGGCCGTGGATACTTTCAATGAAATGCAACCAAATAGTATATAATAAGTTGTTTTTAGTTGAAACATATAGCCAAAAGCACATTGCAATGGGCTATAGATTCTCAAGCTCATGAAGCATCATAGGTTAAGTGGTTGTGTATCTGGCTTTAGGCCGAAGGCCTGAAGCCTGATGCGCATCGCATGCCTACACAAGCCCTTGCAAGGGGTTAAGAAAGATGGGTAGGTAGGTACCTACATCAACAGAAAACATAAACAACAAACCAGAATAGAAGCACTAGCAGTGTAGACATCTAATGCCAAATCCCGAAGCATGGTTGTGGGACAGAACAACAGACCCTGATGCTTTTCATTATCAATGTTAGGTATGGAAAATGAAACTGAAGTTGATGAACTGTCAAACAGTGATTGTCTAGTCAAAACTCTTGCTTCTTTCTTACCTTGCATATTTTGTGGGGTGTGATATGCCAGGCTTGAAGCAGCCTTCTGAGCAAGTCTCAAACTAATTTGATATGCAAGGCATCAAAACACTAGTGAGCATCCAAGAAAGAAAAACATTCATCTATTTTGATTTTTCCAAATAATGATCTTCGCTCAAATCCCCAAGGACGTGCGAGCCACAATTGCCTCTTTCATTCAAAAATTTTACTTGAGTTTTTAATGACGTCAATAGCAAAGAAGTGGCAATTAATTGTTTTGTGTCACTATGAACAGCTATAAAAATTATAATTAATAAATAATGATGCTATACAGTTAAAAACTTGCTCTCAAACAAAGCCTAATTATCAATTTTTTACATTTTCAGAAAAAGACGTCATTTTATTAGTAAAGTCAACAGCTCGCGTAAGAAATATTGTGTTCAGGGTTTTCACCGTCTTGTGAATTACGTGTTCAGGGTTTTCACTATCATGTGAATTAACCGTAAGTAAGGTTCATGCTCACTTATAATCTAATTCCATTGGCTTCGTTGATCAGCATTTTCTGTTAGCGGTCACTCACACACCAGTTAGAACATAAAGCACCAGTTTTATATTATGTAATTGGATTTGCCGAAAATCCAGAAATACATCTAAGAGTTATTTTAGATAATATTTTATGAAGCCTTTACCTGCCTTTACCTAAGGCGTGATTTCTTTTTCTATTACCTGAAAGAATTATTGAACGCTCGTCTTCAATAGCTGTAAGGTGCTCTCCTAATGACCAGGTGAGATTGATTTGAAAGGGATGTGACAATGCGACATGTTTGCATTTTCTGAAACTGTCAAGCTCTTGATGAAGGAACAATTGGTACCTATAATTAGTATTCTGTACCAGAGTGCAAACTCCCCTACAGCAAATGGTAAAACCATTACAGGTTTTCAAAGGCTTCACCACTTTCAATGTTGCTGGGCATCCTTTGCATGATTTTTACAGGCAAGACTGCTTATCAGAATGTAAGATTAGGGATTTAAAATTTTATATTTGGGTACTTAAGATTGAGCTTGAAATCTCACAGCCGTGGCCACAGCCGTAGCCGTGTTCTTGGAGATATTTGCAGCCGCCCCGGCCCACAGCCGTGGGGCTGCAGCCAGCCGCGGCTGCAGCCGGCCGGTGCAGACCTCTAATTCCAGGCGAGAGCTTCCGTAAGAGACCTATACAGAAGTCCATGATTCACGAGCTAGACATTCGAACGTTACGAAGTGTTAACATTATGCAAAGGCCGAACTTATTGGCATCATATGCTGCATTCTTGAAGTGTATTTCAGAATATCCTGCTTCTCTGAGGATTGTAAATAATGTTTACGACATGAACACTTTTTATATCATTATTTTTATGTTAGGTAATGTTAATGGATGGCTTGACGTCTTATAAACACGCCTCGAAACAAAGAACGAAACAAATATTTTATCTAAGCAAAACATCAATCAACCCAGATGCTGAGATGTAAATTCGGTGCCAGAAAAGATGCACTGTTTCCGTGTCTGACCCTACGAATTCTAAAGTCACTCCCTCGACCGTCCAAACCCAAAAGACACCACCACCGCCACTCCAACCAAAGCCAGCCCACCCGAGCTCCCAGAGGGCAGAGTCCCGGAGAAAACCCACCCCTCCCCTCTACCTCCGTCGATTCTACCTCTGACCCACATCCGACCCCACAAGTAGATCAGGGCGCGAATCCCGTCTCTGATTGGTCAAGCTCCGTTCGTCGGTGAGCTCTGATTGGTGGAGAGGCGGAGCCATATAAGGGGTTGGTGGTGTGTAGCTGTAGCTTTGTGGGGCGTGTTGGTGTGTGAGGCATTCGGAAGGCGGCAGCCGAGCCAGGAGGTTGGACGCGCAGGACAGGAAACATGCGGATGGTGAGTAGACCATGATGGTGTTGGTGATGGTGCTGGAAACGATGTTGGACGGTTTACGTTGGTGAAAATTAAGAGGGATTGTTGAGGGAGCGGAAGTGCCGGTGCTGGTGTTGGAAAGGATGGTTGGTGATGATGTTGAAGAGTTGGTGGAAAGGGAGAGGGTTTGTTAGAGGAAATGTTGTAGAAAATATTTTAGGAAAGGATGTTGAAGACAATGCTGGACAGTTAAAGGTGGTCAAAATAGGGGGCGCTCTTATTGCAAGTGATGTTGGTGGTGTGGCGATGGTTGTGATGTAGTAAATGATGGTGAACAGTCGTTGGAAATTGATATGGTGGTGCTAAGCGCTTAGTCTGGTAGCCGTAAAAAGAACAGAGTTGAAGCGCCTAGCAGCACTTTGCACGTTTTTCGATTGTTGCAAATGCATAGCATAAAGAAGCATACCTATTTGAAAAGACGTGTGAGAAATGATATCGGATACATTGCAGGTAATACGAAGGCACGTGCATCAATTACTGTTGCGCTTTAAATCCGTTCGTTTTTACGATTGCTAGACATTTGTGGTGATAAAGGTGGTTGGTGGTTACTGAAGTCGGTGTGATAGGGGAGACTGAGTTCTAGTCCAGTCGCGTTTAGTCTGACTTTGGCAGTCCACTCGATTCCAGTCTGTCCAGACAAGAATCCAGTCTTGCCAGCATGGTCCGCAGTATCGGTGCCGCAAATGTGCTGTGCTGTGTCTATTTTGTATAGTGGTTCTTTCATGCTTATGTACCTACCGCAATTGTTGAATTGTTTAAATTCATACATTTACCGTGCAAAAGAAATGCGATGTCAGCACATCGTAGTTTATACGAATTCAAATAGATGTTGGCCAGGACTGGACCATTCCGGGATCTTTTTTCGTAGCATTGCACATTTCGCTTTCAATATCTAGTCATTGCCTAATAACTTTTACATAAAAGGGAACACGTGTTAGGAACAATGTAGTAATTGCTTCATTCAATTTAAGGTACCAAATTCAATGGGAAAACGTTAACACAAAAAATGATATGGTTTCACTTGCCGAAATTAAATTCCTGAACAACATGGATTCAACCTTGAGTTTTCAAGCTTGATCACTAGTAAGTTTTAGTAACTGTCACTGTTGCCTCTACAAAGCGTCATAACTACAAAACTATAAAAGGGTACATAAGAATTTATGCAGCATCAAAAATGCACTGTCATCAAAAATATTCCTACCAAGACGAACCAGCGGAATAAAAATCACACCTTAAATTTTCGTGCAAATTTGTAGGCAATTCAAATATGCGAATAATTAAAATACCACCTTCGGTCATCGCTGCAGTTTAAAATAAAAACCATTACCGTTCCCACCAGATGCCATTCATTCTCTCAACAAAATCCCTTCTCATATTTTATTTCCCACCGTTTTTTTTCCGAAATTTCAAAGTTCGTGCAAAAACACATCACTCACTGCCCGTGTGCAGAAAAACCGGTGGACCGCTCAAGGTCGCTCCATTCAGACTCTGTAGAGTAAAACCGGCCTTGCTACGTCAAGGTTACTCACAACGTAAAGACTCGCCGAGCAAGTTTTACCTGTTGAGCCGGTCAGAATCTAGTCGGGTTGAGTCATGTTGGCACGAAGGAAGTAAAAAATCCGTCACATGATACTGGTTGTTCCGGTGTAGGGATGCCGTTTATAATATGTATGGGCGTATGGGCTTTCTTGATTTTTCTTCACGATTTGTTTGAGGATAAGTCAATATTTCAGACCATAAAGAAAACATCACATAAGCCTTGATCTGCCCCGTTCGGCCATTGACCTCTCTTGTGCTCCGTTTGGCCATCGTTTGTTCTGTTCTTTGAGTCACGCTATTGCCGGGTTTAGCCGTCGGCCGACTTCAGTTTGACTATCGTTCGACTCTTCTTCCATCAACCCTCGACTCCAGTTCCAACATTGTTGGAAATTCGTTCAGCAATAGCTTGGATTCGGGTCCACCACGTTTGGAATTCGATTCGAACATCGATCAATTTCATCTTGACCATATGTCTGTCAACTCAAGTTCGAACCAACTGTCCTCAACCGAGCTCCATCGGTCAGGTCACCTTGCCTTCTACCCAGCCCCGACCAACTTGTCTGACCAGGGTCCGATCTGCCTCATGTCTGATGTCAGCTTGCCTCTCCCCTGAGCTCAGATCAGTCGGTCTCAGGTCAGCTCGACTAATCGGTCTCAGGTCAGCGCGACGAATCGGTAGATCAGATCATCAAAGTCGTCTGCCTAGTCTCACCAATCGGTCCCAGGTGTGCCCGGCCGATTAACCTGTCTCAGCCAGACCAATCGGTCTCAGGTCATGCCGACAGACCGATCAGCCATCCCAGCCCGACCGACCAGCCTCGCGGTCGAGAAAACCGGGCCTCTCCCGACCGGCGTGAGCCACTGACCCAGTACCGCGGCAGATGTGGCGCGCCGCGGCTAAAGTGGCGCACGTCTGGCCCGCGGCGAGTCCGGCGCGGCGGCGGCGTGAAGCGGCGCGGCGCGCCACTCTAAGGTCATCGACGCTGCTTTCTAGTTGTCGGGGAGAAACTCCGCCGCCGCTGCTGGGGACGCGTGATTAGCATGGATGCCACGCGCTGTTGGGAGGGTAGGGCAGGGGAGGGGAGGGGAGGGGAGGACTGGCCAGTCAGGACTACGCACACGCAGTCAGGACTCGTCAGTCGGTAGTGAGGAAGAGTCGATCAGGAATTGTTGTCAGGAGGACAAAGCCACGTTCTTGGGCAGAAGAAAGTTAATTGGGAAACTGGATGCAGCGATGGTGAGGAATCCTCTGCTTTTGTTGTTTTGATTTTTTGTTTGCTTCAAACTAAAACTCGACGCATTCATAATAGTGAGTTTCCAAGAGCATTGCTCGAGTTGTCGTTCTGCGTCCCACAAAAAATCATTTCATAAGTCATGCCAAGTCCATTTTCCCATTTGACGAAAATTATCTTTATTCAAAGCCGGTGTCATCATCTTCCATTTGAAACAATGTGCCTTTGGTGAGGTTGGATAAAACAGGAGCAAGGTCTCTGTTGCACATTTCCGCTTGCATCTGTATTCCGCCCGTTCCAGCTTCCTGTTCCATTTCTCTCGGCCATCATTGACACATCTTCGTGACATCTCCATTGCGTTGGTCACGCATAAATCCAATGACGTCAGCAGCGTGAATCCAGTGACGTCATCACCAGTGAAAGGATGTTCCGTGATTGCACCATTGCGTATCCGGTTGTGAATGGCCGTGATTTGTCACGCATTTGCATCGCCAAAGGATGACGATTGTGCTTTGCCACGAGCCGAGACCGTGGAAATGTATTTTTGCAAAATGTGCAACAATGCACGAAGACTTTCAGTTCCGGTTACATTTGGCATATCATCAATGAGCTTGTTGCACAAACCGAGGTAACTTCTGTTTTTAATCTGTGCATAAGTGCACTGATGCCATCGACTCTCTCTCTCACGCTTTCTGCTTTTTAGTGTTTCCTTTCTTCCCACCATCATAAATTCATCGTCACGTCATTTTTGACCGCCCCTAAATCTGCGTCATTTTCGGCAGATGGCTATCAGGCCGATAACCGTATGTTGAACAACAGTTATTGGAAACACATGTGCGTTCCGGTTAACGAATCCTGTAATTTGCTACCATCTGGCTAGCGAGGTAGCATTACGGTTTCATTTGTCACGATACCGCTGCGACGTTGTCATGACAACCACTGTTCTACCAACATCTGTTCCTCCCTCTAAGAGCAGTAGCACCAGGAGCAGCAGCGGAAACATAATTTCTCGCTCGTTTCCCTCGCGCCCTAGGCGTCGTCTAGTCGGCGTCAAAAAAGAAATCCGCGTGTCTTCCGGCTACAATTAGCATACCCATCCGGCTTTCACTTCTTGTACTGGACCCACGAAGGACAGCTGAGTAAATTTTAGTAGTAATTCCCTAGAAACACTGGAGAAATTTGTGACAAACGTCCGAGAAATTTAGGGCATGTGATCGGTCGCGGTGATTATAAATGAAAGCCGTCGATATGGTAGCGATCGGTGAAAACGATCCATTTGTTTGAACAGTGGAAAATATGCATTATATAACAGGTTTTTGAAACAACTCGACAGTCATGACAATTTACGAATGCTGGACATCGCTATACGAGTATCATAGGTAATCATTAGGTATACCTCCTTGTCATTACTAAATTACTTTATTTTACTCAGCGAGTTATTTCTGGTCAGCCCTATCGTGAGTTTCACCAGATAAAGAGGCTCATCATCTCTGTCCTCCACTTTATCCACATTGCATTTAAGTTCCCCTTGCTCACGCCACACTCCATTTCAAACATTGCCCACTCCTCATTCCAGCCGCCTAACTCCACATTAGCACTCCACCCCAACGCCTCACTCCATTCCATTCCAAACTCCACACTCCAGACTCCCCACCGCCCGGAATTCCTCGACCGGCGCATCTAATTAGTTCAGTGACCCACTACAGAGCCGCCTTCAGGTGACCTTGACTGCGCCGCCTAACGGCCCCAAATGACGTCACTGGCATACTAACCCCGTGATTGGCTGGCGCACAGTGGTTGCTGAGCTCGGTATGGTGTGTCAAAAAACAGCGACAGGTGGGGAGTTGGTGGTTGAGCTGTGAATGAAGGCTGATGCGGAGGATCATTTCCGTTGGTAGCTTTGATTTTCTTTGTAAGAAGACCGTCAAAATGTCCGTGTGTTACATATTTTTTCCGTAATTTAAACAAACTTTGGTGGGACGCGAGATTACAATTGAAAGACAATGCTTTTAAATTGCGTGTGCCCCAGCGTTTCCACGGTAACCGTCTGTCGCATCGTTCCCTGCCGGTTCGTTGACCCAGCCTCTAGTCGTTCACGTGCCAGTCATTTGCCTGCGCCGCTAGTGAATTCTATTTGGAACAGCTGACATCGTCCAGTCACGGATGGCTGGATACTTTGTTACCCTCCGTTCCACTTTAGAAGGCAACTGTGACGATCCAGTGAGCTCAATGATGAATGAGCTTAGTGATTCGTCTCTCATCAGAGTTCAATCACTTCAGGTATTCAATCCTGTTGTCTCTTCTGTTCTGGGCCATTTATTTTGCTTGAAGCCGTAGCGATTTCATTCTGACGAAACAAAACCTTGATATGGTTTCACTTTGTCCTTCGATGCTTTCTCAATACCCCGACTGGCGATCCGCCAATTATGATTAAAAAATTACCATTTATGTCGCATCTTAGCTGAATCTACCTGCCTTGACACAAATTTGCATCCAAACGTCCTCTGCTGTCACCTCATCAGGGTGCATCTCAAGGATCTTCCCCAGGCCCCCTGCTTTCTGTCTCACCTGCTTTCTCCCCCGGTACATCCGGGCCGAGGAGGTGCAGATGAAAGCGACCCGGCGTTGCCATGGCGACGGCGGTGCGATCGAGGTCAGCCGGTCAGTGGCCGGCGTGGGAGTCACGTGACCGCCCGTGGGGAATGACTGTGAGGAGTGGGATAAGATCACGTGGTGGGCCTGGGGTTTAAGAGCGATGGGTGTTCGGAAGCGAAATAGAATCAGATGGTCGGGAAGGAGAGAGGATGACATCACATTGGGACATGGTGACAAGAGAAGAAGCAGATATTTTGCAATTTGCTCAGATATGAGTACATTTACTTGCATCAATCATTTTACAAACACCAAGCCAAACAATGACATACTACTTTGTCTACCCCGTATCCATATTCATAGATTGTGGATCACTACCTTGTAGCACCAATTATTTAAATAGAAACAATTCGACATGAAACTTAAAACCATTCATTGTTTTGTTTTCATTTTCTCATTGCAGTTACCCTTATAGTCGGTGTGATTACTTATTTTGTGACTGTCACTTGTATACACGTGTGAGGTCATCTATGTTTTGTGTTTCTTTCTTAGTAGGTATGTGGCCGGCTTGCTGCTTGCAGCAGTTGTGACGTTATTTGTATTTTCTGTTTTTTTTTGTGATCGCGCCTCGTGGGTCTGCTGTGGATCTGTCGATGTCGGCTCTAGCCATATGTGATTTGAAACATGCTTTATATTTCATGCAACGTCATTGACATCCATTAGTGACGTCATCTGCGTTTTCCGCTCACAGTTCGTGGCCGCGCTGTTGCTGGCAGCAGGTCTGTCTCTTGCAGTGTTATATGACGTCATCTGTGTTTTCTGTTCACAGTTCGTGGCCGCGCTGCTGCTGGCAGCAGGCCTGTCTCTGGCAGTGTTACATGACGTCATCTGTGTTTTCTGTTCACAGTTCGTGGCCGTGCTCTGGCAGCAGGCCTGTCTCTGGCAGTGTTATATGACGTCATCTGTGTTTTCTGTTCACAGTTCGTGGCCGCGCTGCTGCTTGCAGCAGGCCTGTCTCTGGCAGCCGCTGATGGGTACGGCTACAAACAGCCTGTGAAGTATGCCGGTCCCATCGTCTACAGCGGCGAGAAGCCTCCCATCGTCCACTTCCCGGCGCCGCCGAGGCCCACGGTGAGTGGAGCTACTGCTCGGAACGGCCAGAAAGCTACAACGTCCAAATTTAAAGTGGCTTGATATTATTGCGTCTAATGTTGAGAACAGCCCGACAGTTGCGAATGATCGTGACATTTTGATAGCTCTTGCAAGGCTCATTAAAGGGCATGTGTAGATAAAGAAAACGTGTTTGTATATTTGTGTCACTGCTAAAATGTACTCTTTTTCATCACAAAGTGTAATCTTAGCATACATTTTCATCGCCTTACATAAACTCATTTAGGCTTCTATGATGGGAGCACTTCTTCACAATTCCTCTCGATTTGCTGTTTACTAACCCTCCCCTCCTCCCCTCCACAGAAGGGCTACGGACACGGCAAGGGCGGCGGTCACAAGATCCCGCAGTCCATCAAGTACGTGCCGCTCCCCCACCACGAGCTGCCCGTGCTGATCTACCAGTCGGACTCCAACCCTCCCGTCCACGTGGTCAACACCCCGGCACCCTACGTCGCGCCCAAGGCTCCCAGCAAGGGCTACGGCGCCCCGAAGGCTCCCTCTGGCAGCTATGGCGCCCCGAAAGCTCCTTCTGGTGGATACGGCGCCCCTAAGGCTCCCGCTTCTGGGTATGGCGCCCCGAAGGCTCCTTCCTCTGGATACGCCGCCCCTTCTAAGGGACACAGCAGCGGCGGACACAGCAGCGGACACGGAGGCGGACACAGCAGCGGACACGGAGGCGGACACGGAAAGGGAGGCGGATACAGCGGCGGAGGCGCCAGCGCCCACGCTCATGGCTCCAGCGACAGCGCCGTCTACATCAAGGCTCCCCCTGCGCCCGCGCCCGTCTACGTCCCCGCCCCCGAGCCGCAGTACGTGAGTGCCAGCAAGCCCAAGCCGAGCTACGGTGCTCCGCACAAGCCGGCCCCGAGCTATGGAGCCCCCAAGGCCAAGGGATACCCCGCCCCCAAGCCCCAGTCGTCGTACGGAGCCCCCAAGGCGAAGGGCTACCCCGCTCCGCGTCCGCAGAGTAGCTACGGTGCCCCCAAGGCCAAGGGATACCCCGCCCCCAAGCCGCAGTCTTCTTACGGAGCACCGAAGGCGAAGGGATACCCCGCCCCGCGTCCTCACTCATCCTATGGAGCTCCCAAGGCTAAGGGTTACCCCGCCCCGCGTCCCCATTCGTCCTATGGAGCCCCCAAGGCCAAGGGATACCCCGCCCCCAAGCCTCACTCCAGCTACGGAGCCCCCAAGGCCAAGGCTACCCCCGCACCTCACATCATCTACGCCGGTCACCCGCCAATCCACGTCTACCAGCAGCCCCCTGTCTACCAGGTCCCCAAGGCTGCCCCCAGCAAGGGCTACGGACCTCCCCCTAGCAAGGGCTACGGACCTCCCCCTAGCAAGGGCTACGGACCTCCCCCGAGCAAGGGATACGGACCTCCCCCTAGCAAGGGCTATGGCGTCCCCAAGGCCCCCACTGCCAGCTATGGCGCCCCTAAGGCTCCCTCGTCTGGCTACGGCGCTCCCTCGAAGGGGCATGGCGGCGGCGGACACGGCGGCGGCCACGGCAGCGGCGGCCACGGAAAGGGAGGCGGCGGACACGGAAAGGGAGGCGGCGGACATGGAAAGGGAGGCGGATACCCCGCCGCCGTTCCGTCCAGCAGCTACGGCGCCCCCAAGGCTAAGGGATACCCGGCTCCTCGCCCCAGCAGCCACTACGGCGCTCCCTCGAAGGGCCACGGCGGCGGTGGACATAGCGGAGGGCACGGAGGCGGCAAGTACCCCGCGCCTCGCCCTAGCAGCGGATACGGTGCCCCGAAAGCTAAGGGATACCCGGCCCCTCGCCCTAGCAGCCATTACGGCGCGCCCAGCAAGGGTCACGGCGGTGGTCACGGAGGTCACGGCGGCGGTCACGGAGGCGGTCACGGCAAGTACCCCGCGCCCCGTCCCAGCAGCAGCTACGGCGCCCCCGCCAAGGCCAAGCCCGTCTACCTCCCGGCGCCCAAGGCGTACAACAAGCCTCCCATTATTATCTACCAGGGAGTGAGGCCCCCCGTGCATGTCTACAAGGCCGACCCGAGCAAGGGTTACGGCGCCCCCAAGGCCCCGAGCTCTGGCTATGGTGCTCCCCACAAGAGGGTTGACACCGAGACCCCCAAGTCTGCTGCCCTGGAGGCTGTCGTGCCCCGGAAGAACGAGGAGGCACAGCCTGTCGCTGCGGGTTTGACCCAGGAAGTCGAGGCTCAGGAGCGAGTTGATTCGTGGCTGCCTCTGAACGTTGAGGGCGAAGAGGCGCCGGCAGCGGAAGCCACCCAGGCTCAGGCGAGGTCTGACGATGGCGTGGATACTGTGATCGGCACCCCGGCGGTACAGCAGCAGGTTCAGGATGTTGGAGAGCAGGTGGTCCAAGCTGTTGTCTCCGTGGGTAACTCGGAGTCGCAGTAGGGCGCGAGCAAGGGGATGTTAACTTATTATTGCGGGAGGCTCGCCGCCGCCGGCGGTAGCCAGTAGAGGCGACTGTCTCACTACCCCGGCGCCAGCGGCGATAGGTGGCGCTGTCGGCGCGCCGCAGGCCGTATAGGTGGCGCCACTGTTGCCGACGGCGCCGGAGGCGCTCCCCAGTTAGGGGTTGGCGCCGACTCTGAGTCCATCCGGGGCGTCCTCACGCCCCGCCCACCTGGACTCGAGTCACGAGGCCGGCGTGGGCATGTGCGCATGCGCAGAGCGTCTGGGAGGTGTGATAGTGTGTGTGGCGTCATTGGTTGCATTATACGCCGAGTACCTACAAATACTCAGCTGATGAGAGCTGTTGTACATAGTAGCTTCATTGTGTGGCTGAGACGCGTCACTGCGCAGGCGCACAACGCGCCGCGTGGAGAGAGCGTGAGAGTGAGTCGGAGAGAGTGAGATGTAATATGACGAGTGTTGTTCATATTTGCAGTGTACTGCCCTGGTTGTATGACCAAGGTACTGCCCAATCCACCCTCCCGGTTGTTCATTGTTGTGCCGGAGATCGCTGCTTATATTGTTATGTAACATCTGCGCCACACTCGTCGCCGGCTGCTGCTACCAAATGACGCCGGTGTGTGAAGTTTTTCCCCTACAAATGAAGTATTTATCATTCTTATTGCTGACCGCACCACGGGGGAAGTGATTGCTCAATAAACCATGCGAACGCAAACGGTGTGTGTTCTTTGTGAGATGCTGACGCTGCTTGCGATCCAGAGAGAGAGGAGAAACAGTAGGAAAGGCAGAATATTCTACACATGCAAAAAAAACTACAATTCGATAAATGACAAACTGAAAATACCGAAATGGAAATATCGTTATTCGGCTAGGAAATCATCACAAGTAACGCGCGCAATTCAGTTAGGAAGCCATACAGTGTTAATATGTGGAATAGAGGACGGAAAATAATCTTACACCAGTGCTCACCATTGGGCCAAGTACAGTCCACAGCAGAAGTAATGTGGGGTTTCAGTTATGGGTATTTTCTGCTTCTGAAGCTTAGGAACGATTAGCCAGACTACAATGAAACTTTGAATGTAGCTTATATGTATCGTCACCCTTGCAGCTGCAACTTTAGCTATTGACATCTTCTTTTCGATCACTCCGCATTAAACAATCGCCAGTCAAAGCCAACCGTTGTGATTGGTAAAACCCTACATTACTTTAGCGGTAGGCTGTACATTGAGGTCGCGATATTCTGGCGGTAGATCTGGAGGCAAACTATAGACGATGATCCAGACATGTAACACTGACTTATCGCGGCAACACGACCTTGGAAAAGGGTTGTCGGAGTACCTAAATGTAAACACTTACGAATAAAAATCAATCCATATTTTATTGTGCTATGTATCATCATATAAAAAAAATAATAATGCCATAGCAAAATGTTAGATTAACCCGCGCACCGACGGGGGGGGGCGGATATCCGCCCCCCCCCCTGAGGTTTTTCGCGAATAGCGGGAAAACCGCGGCGCGTAGCGCCGCGAAATTTGGTATGACTATCACCTCATCAATTTTACACATGGTGTGCAAGTTTGAACCTCCTAACTTTTAAGGTCAGGTCACCAGGTCACTTTGAATGACCCAACCTCAAGTCACTTTTTTGCAACTTTGTCACCGTGCCAGAGCTACAGTAGATGTCGGAGGCCTTTGAAAGTCGCAGGATATTATTAGGTCATTAGTAGCTACAATTTGTATATCTCGGAATTTTGATATCGGTGACCTAAGGTCAGGTCAATTTCGCGACCTCCCCATTATAAGTCAATGGGGGAAAAATCAACTCCCTGTTTTTACCACTAAAACGGGTCGGAATGGCCCCATATACCATACATGACTTCATATACGATCAACCTTCACTACCTTGAGGTCTGTTTTGCTGTTGGGCAGCTGTGAGGTCATGTGACGTCATCAAAGGTCACCAAAGGTTTTTGGCCAATAACTCCGTACAGGAACAAGATACAGACGCGTGGATGGTCTCATTGTGTTCAGCTCGTCAAGACGCATCGAATGATATACATGATGACCTCGAGGTCACGTGACCTGAGGTCAACCTTTGACCTTGACCTTTCGAGGTCAACATATATATCATTCGATGCGGATTGACGAGAGGATCACGATGATGCCCTTAGTTTGTTCCTATCTTGACTAATTCGAAAGTTATTCGAGAAAAACTCTCTCCATATTTAGCGCCGCCATTTTGACTTTTTCGACCCCTGTGACGTCATCTTTGACTTGACCTGAAAATGACCTTAGTAAAAATTGTAGATCTTGGCCGTGCGTATCCGATGCCGTTTACCGCTTGTCGCTATCTTGCTTCGTTCTCGAGATCTCAGGGGGGGGCGGTCATCCGCCCCCCCCCCGTCGGTACTAAGTTGGCGCAGACCCCCGTCGGTGCGCGGGTTAAAATGTCCCATCCAGTTTAACTAAATATTAAATGGCTCACTTGTGCCCAGAAATTCAACAACAAAAAGTGTTCGACATATTTGTTAACCCGCGCCCCGCTGGGCTATTCAGCCATACGCGCCCTGCTGGGGGGGGGGGGGGGCAGATTCTGCCCCCCTGTCTAACTTCCGAACCGATGGTCGTAGAAAGACGGGGAAAACGGCAATCGAAAGCTCTCAACAAGCCGGATCTTAAGAGCCCAATTTTTTTTTGCTCAAGTAGGTCAGAGGTCAGGTCAAGGTCAGGTCAAGGGTACAAAATGCAAATTTCTACAGTATCGGCCTTGCACCGTAGTTGCCGAAGAATGGACTGAGACTGATTGCCCAAAACGTGTTCTTAGACTACCAAGACAATATTTGTTGCATACAATGTCATTCAAAGGTCAAGGTCAAGGTCAGGTCAGGTCAGGTCAGGTCACCAAAAACAAAATATAGAAAAGGGCATGTGCGACACATGTTTTATGGGTCATTTTACTCATAGAATTCAATAGGCACACTCAATAAGTGATATGGACCACCTCCGGACGAATTTCAGGTCGAGATCAGGTCAAGGTCAGGTCAAGTAAGGTCAAATTTTGAAGTTGCTTGTTAACCCTCGCGGGCCCGGGGGGGGGCGTTTTTCGCCCCCCCCCCCCTGGCGAATATTTGCGATAACTCACGAACGCCTAGGGATAGGAAGGCGAAACTTTCAGTACCTTTTCTCCCATCAATTTGACATCTTCTGAAGTAAAAAATTTGGACCTAGCCCCCTTAATGACGTCACAAGGTCCATTTTTCTAGACCCCTGCACGGCAAACTTCGGTGTCACAGACGCAAACTTCAAATAGCTGCTAAAAATAGAGTTTTAGAGATAAAGACAAATTGCGAGCACGGCTGTGTAGCGTTTGACCTAGAGAAAAATAGAAAAATAGTTTCGGTGACCTGAGGTCAGAGGTCAGGTCAACGACCCCGAAATGTGGTTTTAGTTTTTCGCAAATAACTTCGACAAAAATGGTCCTAGAGCTACAGCAGTGGTACCATCGCATTCGCCTTGTCAAGCCGCGTCGAATGATATATATTTTGTTCGGAAAAGGTCAAGTTTCATGTTGACCTCAAGTGACCTCGAATGACCTCTGGTTGACCTTGACACATGAAAGGTCGTTTATGATGGATTTGTACCCGCTGATCACGAATCTGGCATCTATTTTCCTCTAAGCCTTCATTTAGAGCTTCCGGATGGCAAAATTGTCTTATTTATTATTACTAACTTGAATCAGTGAAATAGCCTCTAGCAGGGATACTCTTCTGTGACCTTGACCTTTGAGCAGCCTTGTATCGTAAGATGAACCACAAATAGGGAACTGATAAGCCTCAAAACATTTCAAAACATCTTGGAAGTTAGCACGCAAGATGTGCGAAAAAGTGCCAAGTTTGAGGTCAACTTTGAGCGTGACCTTGACCTTGACCTTTGATTTGGAGCACATTTTCAGAATCCTCAGATTCTCTTCTTTCGTTTGACACCCAATTTTGCCGGTTTGATGCAGCCTGCCGTCCTCTAGAATGCTTACTTTGAGATCACTACACATGTGCCGGTTTTGGCCTTTGACCTTGACCTCTGACCTTGAAAATTGACCTGAGGTCAAAAATTTTGGGTGCATTAGAATCGTCTCGTAAGGACCTTTCGTTTGGTATCGCTTTTGTTTCCGTAGCTCCCTTATTTACGGAGTTAGACAGGGGGGCGAAAAACGCCCCCCCCCCGGGCTGCGGTGGTTGGGATTACCCCCCGGGCCCGGTCGGGTTAAGGCCTAAAAAGATGCCTATCTGATGCAGTTTTTCACGGCGAATCGAATGGTGCTATTTTCGTTTCCGTACAAGGTCTAAAACTTCCAAAAAAATATTTTTTTCAAAATTTTTGTGTGTCGTGACGTCATAAAATTTTGAATAACTCCCACATTTTTGAACCGATTTTTCTAAAAATTGGTATGTAGGTGCACGTAGATCTCTTCTCTGACATATATTCCGGTTTTTTCGATACACTCAAAATTTTGGATTTTATAATTATTTTCCCAAAAAAGTCAGTTTTTTGAAAAAATTTGGGCAAAAATCCAAAATTTTCAAAAAACCGTGATAGCCATTTGATAGACAAAGTAGAATCACGTATAACCTTTTTCGTTACGTCTTGATTCCTTTAAAAATAAAGATGTTAGCGGCGTTTGAAATTTTGCCGTTTTTGAGGCGAAAATGGCGAACATGACGTCACTAAAACGTCAATTTCTCAAAAATTTTCCGACGGATTTCGCTCAAATTTTCAGGAAACATGTCAAATTGATGTATAATAAGGTACCGAAAGTTTGACGTCGCTGGCGTAACGCGTTTAGAAGTTACTGGCGAAAAACGGGAGGGGGGCAGATTCTGCCCCCCCCCC